CTAGTGTTAGAGTAATTTCTTTTGATCTCTATTTTATTAATTTTTGTTCTTCTATTGTACTGTTTTCCCATTGCTCGTGGTGTGTTTTCCTCAATTCAACAGTTATATTGGTTCGACGGTTTGAGAAATATTAGTGGTCAAGTTTATATGTTAATGTAATTTCTCCTTTTTTGACTGTCTTGCAAGAAATTATTGTTTTACTATGATTTCTTCTATATTTTTCTTATATTTTCTGTTGTTTAAGGATTAGTTATTTGTATTTTTTATAATAACTGATTGTAACTTTGGCATTGCACATAATGTGTTGAGAAACTGGAAATGGTAATTACAGTGTGTTTCACTTGTTGTTGCTCGCCTTATTGAGTACATACCATTAAAAGAAATGCCGAAGATGATGCTTGTTACTATTTCCAATTTGTTATGGAATTTGGATTTGCTACATTTTTATAATTAAGTTTTGCATATGTAATCTTATGAATAACTTGCTGTATATATGGGGTTCTAATGATCATGGATCCTACCCAAGATGGAGGCTATCCAGGAGGTCTTAAGGACCCTAGTTTGCTGCAGTTGCATAATAGACTCATTTGTCCTATTATATTTGGCAAGGTCAGGTATATGAATATATTCATTTTCTCTATCCATAAGTTTGTCATTTTTTCTTGTGAATCATAGTCTTTTTATATATCATTCGGGAAATATATGTATCTGTATTGTGATCCACATGTTAATCTATTTGTTACACTTCAGGAGAAATTAGACATAAGAATTGATGAGAAAACCTATCAATTAGACAATTGGGATCTAACTAATGAACAATTTCACCTAGTGAGCATGTCTAGATTGGGTTTTTTGTCTACTATACGGTCAGGTCAAATAGACTATCACTTAGTCGTAGCCATGCAGAGAGGTGGCGATCTGAGACCAATTCGCTACATTTCAATGTACAAATTGGTGAGATGACACCTATAGTCTTTGACGCTTCCAAGATCCTAAGTCTGGATGTGGATGGCGAGCTTGTTACTTGTCGACTAATTACTGACTATCATGAATATATGCAAACCAATTGGGTTAAGTCCCCAGTGGGGTTAACTTGACCATCATCAAGCACTCATGGTTGAAGGCCAAATTTTGCAAATTGCCACTTGATGCAGGCCCATTGGATGTTATTAGGTACACTCATGCTTTGATCTTCCTCATTAGCGTCACAATTTTCTCAAATGGAGGGACTCAAGGCAATAAATAGATGTTTGAACCTGCCTTCATTATTTTATGGATGCGAACTTTGGTTCAGAGGTTGGTTTTTCGGAGTTTCTCCATATATTAGGAGAGGTTATTATATTATTGGTAATGTGACCCATCTACCATCTTCCTAGCAACCTCTTTGCCCCGCCAAGCTTGCATGTACGAAAGCCTGACACCATGATCACGCTGGACATCATTTACAATGTCTTTTGTTGTAATCTTAGGCTGGTCATGAATGCGTGCTTTAATATTTTTTGTCACCCAATTATTACAAGCTGTGGTTGATGAACTCTCCTACCTATGTGCTCCTTAACCATGGACTTCATTATGAAGTATATGTTATTGCTAACTCTTAAACGTTGCACTTACCATATACATTCCTCTGCTTTACAACTTGTCCGAGCCCTCCCATTTGACCACTACCTATGTGCTCATTAACCATGGACTTTACTATGAAGTATATGTTATTGGTAACTCTTAAACATTGCACTTACCACATACTTTCCTCTGCTTTACAACTTGTCCAAACCCGTCCCTCCTCTCATTTGGCAAACTTTAGAAAAAAATTATTGTGGACAACAAAAGTCGACCAGATGATGTCGACAGTTATTAACATTTTCAAAATATTGGTCAATTTCCAAAACAACATCTTTACCAATTCCTTTACATGGCCTCCCAATCTGTTCAATATCCTCCATATTACGCTTTGGTACAAGCTCAAGCTCGTTTTCTATTTGGATGGGCACCACTTGTTTGCGCTCTAAGTGTTCAAGTAAAGGTGCATTAGACCGATTGTTAACAAAAAGATAGAGTACAATAAGTTGAGTTGAGCAAATTACAAATA